TCAATGACTCCTCACAGCCTATTAGGTTAAACGTTCCATTTTACCATGAATTCAAAAGTTTCTTCAGTCTGTTTTTCCAGCCAGATTTTCCTACATTTATCATACCCAGCGCTTTTATAACAAGCAAATTAGATTACATATTTGATACTTATTCACTTGTGTTCTACATTTTTACTTATTTTCTCTACTTTTGTATTATTTACCCAAACTATCTCTAATTCTCTTTTCTCTCTCTTCTGAGACTTTATACAAACATCTCCTCCTTCTAACAGGTGAAAATTATTTCTCCCTTGTGGATTCCTATGTACTATTTTATTCCATCATGTGTCATGTATATTCATATATATAAGCATTTTTCTTTTTGCTTTATCAGTAATAAATAAATGGAAAGATCCTAAAGTTCTAGTATTATGTTTTATTCATATTAGTGCCTTCATGGAGCTACTTGCACTTTTATAATACACATGTATTTTTGTTTCATAATATATGTATAACTTGATCTGGATATTTTTATAACCATTTGCTGCATTAATGTCTCTCCATTGCTGTGTTTCTCTCCATGTTTCTGGTAAAACCTTGCCCTGCAACTTTTTTACTTCCTTGTTTTGCCACAAATTTCATCAGAAAAGTGTGGAAGAACAGGGGAGAGAGAAAAAAGTAACATTTATATATATATATATATATATATATATATATATATATATTACATATATGCATGCATACACACATGCATACAAATACACACCAGGCACCAGAGGCTTACAACTATAATCATAGCTATTCAAGAGGCTAAGAGCTAAGGATTGAGGTTTAGGTTTGTAGCCTGAACAGATAAATTGGAGAGACTTCTGTCTCCAGTTAACAAACAAAAATCCTGAAGTGGAGGTACGTCTCAAATGGTGGAGCACCAGAGTTGAGCCAAAAGTTAAGCAAAGCTGTATGCTTACAATTATAATCCTACCTACTCAAGCACCTAAGATTTGAGGACTGCAGTTTGAAGCAGTCTAGGCTGAAAAGTCTTTAAGACTTATCTCCAAATAGCCACCAAGAAATAACTAATTAATGTAATATAATGTCATAAAAATAAAAGCCAGACAAACACTAGCCTTAAGCAAAAATGCTCAGAGATGTCACCCAGTCCCTAAGTTCAAGCCAAAGAGACAGAACACACACATGTACACACACAAGAAAAAGAAAGTAAACAAAAGAAAGTTAACCAAGAGTGTAAAGCCCTGAGTTCAGGCTCCAATACTGGCATACACAAATAATAATAACAATAATAATAAAGCATCACATAGTAATATATATATATATATATATATATATATATATATATATATATATATATACATTTCTCAATAAAAGTTTACAACCACAAAGTCAAAAATTGGGGAAAAGAAAGAACATTTGGTATATTCCAAAATGATTTACATATAGTACATTGATAAATATGATTTCCATTGTGTTTAACTGTCATTATGATTACTTACATTGCTTTTGATATAGATACTACTAACTGTAGTCTCTCAACCTGTCCTTCATCCTTGTGATCATTTCTTTAAATTATTTAATTATAAAAATAGCTTTTATCCCCATGGTTTAGTTCCCAACTCAGTGTTATTATGGTTCAATTATTCTATGACAAGGTAATTATTCTGACTTAGAAATTTAAAAACTTGTTTATGTATGCATACCACAGAAATACAATTCCAATTCTTGATAGTACATTAGGAATAATGAATTAAAATGAGATTTTTTTTAGTTCTTTGATAAAATTTCCCTTAGATTTCATAAAAGCTTTTCATTGATTTCTAGCCAGTGTTGTTTATAAAAGTCCATAAGTATCAAGTTGTCAGTTCATGTTAAAGGAATAATTAAAAGGACCTGAATGACAAAGTGTTTATAATATATCACCTGTAATCCTAGCTACTCAGGAGACTGAGATCTGAGAATCAAGGTTCAAAGCCAGCCCAGGCAGGAAAGTCCCTGACACTCTTATCTCCAATTAACCACCAAAAATCTGGGAGTGTTGCTGTGGCTCAAGGGGCTGAAGACCTGAGGGACAGCACCCAGGCCCTGAGTTCAAGCCCCACAACCGACAAAATACAAAACATAACAAACAAGCAAACAAAAATGCTTCCTTAGCTACATAGTGAAACCCTGTTTCAACAAAATGAAACAGAAAGAGAATAAATAAGAAATAAGAAAAATAAGTGTCAAATACTAAGTGTAAATCTCCATGTTAGCAACAACAGAGCATCATAGAGCATTTATCCAGTCCATGAGGAAAAATATCAATATATGAATTGTAAATTACACAGATTTGTTGAAAAATTTTAGCTTAGAAAAGTATCTCCTCACAGTTTTTTAAAACTTAAATTAAAAAAGTGTTGGTCACTGAAATTATGGTAGTATTTTATGCATATATTTGTAGGATTAAATTAAGCTACTTCTTAGTGTTAAGTAAAATATTTTAGTATAGTTCACTATGCATGCCAAAGTAAACATTTGAATTAAAAAAATTCTGAAAATGAGCCCTATGGATTTTTATATAATGGTAAAAATATATTTTTCACCAAGTCCTAAATATGGGAATTCAGAACTACACTCTCTTCCTTTAGAGCATGTAAGCTGTCTAGTTATGATCTAAAATTGTATTTGGCTATGGAATTAATATTGAGACAAAATAAGACCAGATGAGAGCACAGAACTACAGAAATTCATAGAATGGGAAGTCATCAGATTCAAAATGAGGCATCTACAAAAACAAGTCTCAAATACTAGACCTAAACAGCTCTACATGAAGGGGTAAATAAATGTTTTCAGCGTTTTCTTTCACTGTTGTTTATTCATGTCCTCCAATGCTTACTTTTTCATACCAGACACGTGAAGAATAATTTTTCGAATAAAATATAGTTCAACTTGACCTTAGCCCTAAAGGGCATCTTCTCTGGCAAATTTCAGTATTCTTCCAGCTACAGTCATTGAGTGAAGAGTAGAAACAGACTCAGTCCATTTTGAAAATATAATTTATTCATTTACCAAGTGAGGAAAACGTTAACATAGAATTAGATGTCCAAATTTATTTAAATCATTAGAAAGCTACATTTTTCCTCTCATCTGTTTGCCTAAGGTAGCACACAGAAGAAAAGAAAAATAAAGAGACAGGAGAGTTATAAGTTTGGAAAACAACATTTAAACCCTAGGCCTAAGCATCAACCAAAGGTTAATTCCCCATGTGTGTAAATGAGTTTTGAATTATTGACATTTTAAATGAAATACCTACAGAAATGGTTTAAGATCTCACATTAAAATCATTCAACTGACTTCCGAATTTAGGTTTTACCATCTGTGTAGCATACTAATTATTTTCACAGAATTGAAATTTTTATTCTTAAAATAAAAATGTATAAAAACACCCAAATTTTGGACTTTGGTGGATTCTTTTTTTCCTCCATGACTGATGGGGGGAAACATAATTGTTCAACTATCTTTAGTGACTTTGCCAAGGCTGCGGTTACAGTGTGTGTTACTCTGTATGTGTGTGTGTGTGTGCGCGCGCTCGTGTGCGTACATGCGTGCTTGTGTGTTTATTAACTGTGTAGAGTTTTTCATGGCCATGATTTTCATAGAGTAATATTCTGATACAGTTAGATGATTAAAGTTAGTCTTGCCTGAGTAAAGAATGTACCTAGGAATTGATGGATGGACTCCAGTCTTTAGAGTGTTCCATCTTAAATGGCATTTCACCTCCTAATTTTGGTTTGGGTGACAGTGAATGGATTGTTAGGATTGTGTGTTTTCTAGAAAAAAGTCAAAAAAGAACCAAGAAAAAAGGAAGACAGCATTAATGCCCACATGTGTTCTTGTAATCTCTCTATTTTTTTTTTGCTTTGATGAACAACATCATTACTGAAATAATTAATGTTAATTAATAGCTGTGTCATTTTTTGTAAATGGTAGCTTAGTATTACAATTAGACTAATTACTGTACACCATAGCATAGTGACATGACAAATCATAGAGCAGAGCACATTGACTCTTATCCATTGTGATATATGAGCTAACCCACTTGCTGCCTAACAACAACAGTAGAGACAGAAAAGGAAAGAAAATGAGCAGGAACAAGAGCAGCAGTCAGAGCTGCCCTGTGACAACATTTCTAAGTTTCCATTTTTTCTGCCACATTCTTGAGTATTAGGAGTTGTCTCTTTTTACTTAATTATTTAACTTCTTTCCACATTGATAAATCATAGTCTTGAATGAAAACTTTCAAGAATAAGATTATGAGTAAGTAAAACATAAACAACAAAGCTACAATGCTTGATAAGAAATGTACTCATTATCTTGCCCATGTAATTGTAACCCCTCTGTACGGTATTTTCACAATAATTTTTTTTAAAAAAGCATGGCTCCGAGGTAAGCCAAGAACGAAGAGACAAACGGTACATGGTCTCCCTGATAAGTGGATGCTAAATCCAAAATGTTAAGTGATACGACAAAATTAACAGGACTTAAGAAACAAAGAACTCCCACTCATCTGGTTGAACCACTACTAAAAATCCCCATGCTGCTGATCACATATATGGTATATAACATGTGAACACCGTTTTATGTTACAGACTGTGATAGACAATTTGCTCCAGGAAAGTTAGAATGAACTTGAGACTTTAAATGAGCATCATTATTCCACAATACTGTGAAATTCCGGAAATTATGTAATCACTTAATCACAATCAAATAAAAAAAAAAAAGAACCTCGGGGAAGGTAGGGAGGGAGGGGATGGTAGGGGGAAAACAATGGAGGGGGTGACAATGTTCAGCTGTAACCCTCTGTATAGTATCTTTACAATAAAAAAAAATAAAAAATAAAGCATCGCTCCCACATCCATATTTCTCTGGGTTTGAGCATGCTAGGTGTTTGATTTTGTTTTGTTTTGTTTATTTTCCCAAGATAATTTATGGCAAAATGTACAACTTTCTATTACTTTACTTTTCAGAACCTATGAGAACCCCAAAGACGTTAAAGATTGCAGAGATACAGGCAAGACGGATTGCTGTGGACTGGGAGTCCTTGGGTTACAATATCACTCGGTGCCACACTTTCAATGTCACTATCTGCTATCATTACTTTCGTGGTCACAATGAGAGCAAGGCAGACTGTTTGGACATGGACCCCAAAGCCCCTCAACATGTCGTCAGCCATCTCCCACCGTATACAAATGTCAGCCTCAAGATGATACTCACCAATCCGGAAGGAAGGAAGGAGAGTGAAGAGACCATCATCCAAACTGATGAAGATTGTGAGTTCCTATTTTCTTATTTTGTACGGCACTAATGTAATTTCTTAACAGTTTCCTTACCCTTCCTACTAAGCTGAAATAATGCTAAATTACCTTAATACAGTTATTTTGCATAGTGTTTTCCTCTAACAATTTTTTTCTTCTGAGAAGTATCCAAATATTCAATGAAATGTACCTCTGTTGTCTTTTTAAGCAATGATATAGGAGTGACAACTGAAGTTTTCCATAGCAAGTGTTTAAAAAAAGAAAATATTTTATTATCTATGTCATTACATCAGTGACCTATGATAAAATTAACTTCAATACAAAAATTAGTCTTTTATGTTTTAAAAATCAATATTATCTATATTTTTATGGTAAAGATACTATACAGAGGGGTTAGTTACATGAATGAATAAGGTAATGAGTACATTTCCTATCAAGCATTGTTACCTCCTCCTTTGTTTTTTCCCTACCATCCCTTCCCTCCCCACCTCCCTATATTTTGTTTTAAACTACTACTTGAAAGTATTTACTCAGTCCATTTAGTTTTAGATAATATATACTATAGTGTGAGTCCAAATATAGAAGAAGACACTTACTACTTACTAGCATTGCATTATCTTCTTTATATCTCATCACAGAAGTCTACGTTGTTCAGTTCTGTGTCATTCTGAAATAGTTAAATTGTAAAAACAAATATTTATACTAATATTTAAAAATACATTCACCAGCTTTACAGTACAACGTATCATTAATGTAAATATGGACATATTACCTAGCCTAACAATTTATTTATTTAAATAGTCTACAAAAAGCAATATTTTAAGATTAATAATAATACATTTTGGTTTCATGTTGAAAAAAAAATTTTTTTTGCAGTGCTGAGAACCAAGCTCAAGACCTTGCACTTGCCAGCAATTGCTCTTCCACTGAGCTAAATCCTCAAGCCCTCATTTCCAAATTTTATCATTAAATGCTGGCATGCTGTGATTAAAAATGCTTGCATTCATGCGTCCTCTGTAATTAAGTTCAGTAATTTCTCTCCCCTCTCTATCCAAATTTCTTACCCATCTATGAAGTAGTTAATGGAAATAATCCCTGAAGTTCCATGATCTTCCAAAATTCTCATTGCATTGCTTGCTTGATGGGAAGGCTCCATAGGGGTAGGGAGGAAATGGTGTAGTTTACAGGAGATCTTTGCAACTTCCCTCAGGTTCTAAATTTTAGACTCAGTTGTATCTTTTGGTGCCTACCAAAGCATGAGGTTGCCATAAAACAGGCTAATAACACATGGTTTCTCAGAATTCTCATTATTTCAGAGTTCTCCCACTTTGAGAAGTAGAAATACCTTTGTTTTCTTGTCCTGATGCTTCATTGTGAAAGAAACAAGATAAGGTAGAAGTGAGAGCCTTTTGATTAGCTATAGTTCAGAATTTGTAGTTAACAGGTTTTATAGTACCCATTCTTACATATTAAAATTTCAGAGAATAAACCTAAGATTTATTTGATAAATATACTTTTGATATAGAGTTCATCAAACTTGAACTATCTCTGATATTATTCTTGAACTCTTTCAAGCCAAAATGTCAATGGTATCTGACAAACCTGTATGGACACATGAAAATTCTTCTGTCCCTTTTCCTCACACACAAACACACACACACACACACACACACACACACACACACGTACCACTTAACCCATGTTTATGCAAAAAGAATGGCTAAAGGTAATTGGTTCATAGGTAAATAGAAGTAAGAAATGTTAGTGTGTATTCAAACACTATATACCTGTATCATATAATCTGAGATAAATGTTCCAATGGCTGTCAGACTAGAAATATTTAAATTATAGTTTTAGTAATATAGATACTTTCACTTGGCTTTTTTTCCTACTTTAAAATGTTTAAACCTTGATTTCTTAATTGATAACTGTAGAAAATTCCACCTGAATTTGGTGGTGAAGAGGGTAGCCAATCACCCTTTAGTAATACACTTTATGTTGGTTATGCACTTTGATGTGGATTATTCATCTGCTCTTTTCCCCACAAAAGAATGCATTAAGGCTTTTTTTAAATGTATTTCTTTAGCATATAGAAAGGCTTGTTAATAACCAGAATATGAAATTGCTATGCAATATTACTCTAAGTTAAGTTCTTGTGATATTTACTATATCCAGAATTAGTTTAGTAAGAAAAAATGGCTATATCTACTAATATTAATATTATTTTCAGACCCTAGTTTTAATATGTGCTTTTGGAATATTTTACTGGTTTTAATGACATTAAGGTTCATGTTATTATTTCATATTATGATCACAAAATAATCCCTCTACTCTGACTGATAACGTTTCTTCTTGCTCTTTTTTCTGCCACATATAATATCTAGTGATTGACGTACAAACTTTTATGAGGGATTTGTAAGTATCTCCGTTTCTACACAGAATGCTTAATATTATGAACATTAGTACATAGCAAGAAGATAAACATCTAAATCATGACCCAGTGTTGAGAAGATCAGTGATTATGATGATCTGATGAAGGCAGTCTTACTAAATTATTGCTGCCCTATGTACATAGAAAAAGAATAAATTATCAACCATCCAATAAGAGGATGTAATTATATGAACAGAATACTGGAACATCTATAAATCTTCAGAGCAAGCTAGAATGATTTCCCACCAGAACCCTAAGGTAGAATTTATATTTAATTTATTGCACACATTTTTTCATACATGAGCAGAATTTTTCACATGACTTTTTTTTGTTTTCATTTCTAATTCCCACCTTCATAAAAATCAATATTATGACATTAGCTTGGCAGAAAAGCTTGATTGGGAACAATTTTGACAATAGAAAGCTCTTTTTATAAATACATTTATCACATTTTAAAGGTGAAAATGCTTGTTTAATTTAGCCCCCCACCCAACCCACCCATGCTTCATTTTTCCTTTCTTTTTTTCCATTTTGTAAGTTGCATTTTAAAAGAGTTTGTTATACTTTAAAAAAAAAAAAGTAGCTGAAGCAGCTCTCTTCTAAATCACAAGCATGGGAACAAAAGTCAGCATTCTGTCTCCATTACAAATTGTTGATGTGGAAATGTGAAGTGATGTTCCTTGAAGTCTGTAGAGGCTGTGACAAGGTTTTATTTAGTAACTATGTGCTGCATGCACACATGAAATCTTAAGTAGATGGAGTTATATTCTGTGAACACAACTCCCTGCAAAAGAACAAAACTAAGGAATATAATTGGCCTGTACTACATCTCATCCCTATCTGTGTGTGTGTGTGTGTGTGTGTGTGTGTGTGTGTGTGTGTGTGTGTGTGTGAGAATGTGTTGTAGCCCAGTGAAGTGTAGACCTTGTTTTCATTTACTCTTCCCTGTCCAAGGAAAGATCAATAGTATGGCATGTTTTATTTGTAATTTCTCTCACACTTTCCATCTCCAAGATGTGACCTATGGATAAGTGAAGTGGATTCCATCCTCATGGTATTATTACATGTGTGTAAAGGACATAGATATATAAAACTTATAGAGAAGCTTTCCAATTCTCCTTTTCAACGCAGCATGGAGCAAGCATTTTAAAAAATTCCAAATTGTGCACTGTTTTAAATACACCCATGACACATTGCAGGCCAAAAGGTGTTAGGTGAACATAAGCAGTTATAAATATAACATCATCATGTAAACATCTCCCCACTGTTTTGGATTTTGTCCCTGCCTCCTTATCGCCTTCTGTGAATGATAGGTAAAGAACGATCATTTCCTTAGTTACTGTGATGTGCTGCATCATTTGGTAGAAGAGAAACAACAGGCCTTCCCTATACACCAGACATTGTGCAGCACAGAGATGAGGCCAAAGATGACTTTAGCTGACAAATACAGGGACACTCCTCTTCTAAATTCAATGCTGGTATCTTTTCTCTTAGCTGTGGGTTTCCTTCCTCTGTGAATTTATTATTCATGTTCCAAATTATGTTGCCCGTCTCAGAGGTCATAACATCATTCATAGTCTCCTTGTAGATTGAAATAAATCTTATTCTTGTGACACATCACTCAGAATTTCTTGATGCTGTAGCCAAGAAGCAATGCATTTCCTTTGATCCAGTGATTTTTAATTTATTTCGGTCCTCACAAAATTGCTCTATACTTTGGAATGGCATTTCCAGATAATGTCATGTGTGAAGTTCACTGAAACGTTAGATTAAGGGAAAATATTAATTAAAAAACATACTTGCCCAATATTGGTTGGTATTTTCAAAAGGAAGCAAGTTTTTAAGCCAAGAATGTTCTGTTGTGCATAAATGGTACAGTGTTATCAGAAGTAGAATTTGGTAATTGTGTGAATAAAGAGCTAAGTATTATATACGTTTATGTTATATATACATATATGTAATATGAACTAAGATGAAATATAAACCACTTAAGTGGAATGCATAAAAGGAAAAGGCACAATAGTAGAACTATGTTGAATATTTTGCAACCAGAAGATGGCAGCTCATTCAGAATGATATAATAAGAAACAATAAGATTTGCAGTTACGTGACATTTGCAAGTAAGGAGTAAGGAGTCCAATAACAGCTACTCAAAACTTATTAAAAAGTATTGGGTTCAGAAATAAGGAGTCAAGGGACCAAGGGTGTGATTCATTGCAAGAGCATTTGCCTACCACATAAACAAACAAAATAGTTTTTTAACAGATCATTGAATTTTAAACCAATATGACATTATAAACTGGTTTGATTCCTAGCAAAGACATTTGAATATATCCATCTTAAATAACTTTTAAAAAATATAATAATCATAGCTATCTTTTTAATTGTACAAAAGTATAGCTATAAATGCCTGGATGATTATTAATGGGCATCTCAATCTAATGCTATGTGTTTTGGCTTTTGAGTCCTAACAGTGTTAATTATTAGTAGTATTCATTATTTTATGAACTTTGTTTATGGAGACTCTTTAGGGGATTATCATAATCTTCAAAAAATCTTTCAGGGAACTATAGCTCTGTTCTTGAAATAAATTACAAATAAGATCTTCATGTTATTAGATTTATACAACCGAGAAAACTAGACTGCATAATTTATGTAACTCTCTAAGGTGATAGAATATTCTTTTGAATAAAAATAACCTTACTTTTTTATATTTTCTGTTTTATACTCTTATGGAATAATTTTAAGTTCCCATATATCTGAGCAAAGTTAGACGGCTGGTCTTATAGACTTTTTTGCTGTTCAAAACTCACTTGCTTTTATTTCAAATTTTGTTTATGTACTTCACATGATGTTCTTTTTCTACTTCTTCTGGAACCATTCTTATAACTGAAAATGCATATATTTATAGTGCCTGGCCCTGTTCCAATCAAATCTCTCCAAGGAACATCCTTTGAAAACAAGATTTTCTTGAACTGGAAAGAGCCTTTGGACCCAAATGGAATCATCACACAATATGAGGTACTGAGAGACAAAGAAGTTAATTTAAATGTGGAAAAAGGAATGATGGAGGTGGGGGGGAAGTAGAGGGAAATAATGGAAAAGAAAGTCGTAAGGATTGGGATATTAAAATATTACTTTTTCTTTGCTTTAGTTTATAAATTATTTGATTTCAAAAATGTTTCACAAACTCCAAATTTTCCTTTTATAAAAATTAAGAAAATCATATTAGGAGATACCACTATTGTCGGTTATTTCAGGGTAAGGAATTGATATCTGAAAAAGAAACTTAGATTATAAAGTTTTTTCAGAGTTGTAATTTTGATTACAAATCACTATGTTTTGAAATATAAAAAGCTAAAGATAAGAAATGGAAGAATATATTTAATTGCATAAATATACAGTTCTGTTCTTGCATAGTTAGTATTGATTATAGCATACAAATTTTTAAGTTTCTAGTTGCTACAGAATGAATCGAAGAAATGAGACCTCTAGTCTGATATTGCTATTTTGCATGTTTAAATGTTACTTTGTTTCAGTAAATAGCCATCAAATTTTGTACATATGATTAAGTATATCACTTTATTGTTTGATGTTTTTGATAGAAAATATGTATATATATATATATATATTTGTCTAGTCAGTATATCTCTAGGATAGCTGTAGATGATATGTAGACAGACAGATATACAGAACTATAAAAATAACCATGTAAAATTAGAAGGAAAGAGTAGAAAAATTTATAATTGACTCTACACGGATGTATTGTGTAATATTTTATTCAGCTAGAGGTTTGTTTTTGTTTTACTTCTTTACAAGTTACTAGGACTTCCTTCTACCAGCTATGTAATGGAATATGTATTTTCTACAACAGGTCAGTTATAGCAGCATAAGATCATTTGATCCTGCAGTACCAGTGGCTGGTCCTCCCCAGACTGTATCAAACTTGTGGAATAGTACGCATCATGTATTTATGCATCTCCACCCCGGAACCACCTACCAATTTTTTATCCGAGCCAGCACAGTCAAGGGCTTTGGGCCAGCCACAGCCATCAATGTGACAACAAATATCTCAGGTATGCAAATGAAGGAAGTAAAAAGAGGATTGGTTTTGCTCTTGATTTAAATAGTATGGGCATGGAGAATCACATACATACTGTGTGGTACTCACTTTGTTTATTCTATATTTAATAAAATTTTGCATGATGGAAAGCACTTCAAAGGAACCATATAACTAAAAATTACAGTTGGTTATACTTCTCAATTTAATTGACAGTACTCTTTTCAAAAATTGCAAAAAATTTCAAAAATTTCTGAATTTCATTATAGAGAATAATAGTCTTTTATTTTGTAAGGATTCAGCGATTACCATGGTATTTGATCTCTGCTATGAATTGATTTTTTAATAAAGCACCCCAAAAGATAGTAGTATATCTTTGTTGTCGTATCAAAATACCACAGAGCCTCTTTCTTCAATTGTCATTAACATTCCAGCATGTTAAATAAAACCAGGCTGTCCATTTTCTCTTTAAAACAAAAAAAAACCTCACATAAAAGCATCTACATTTTAGAATGGGAACTGCAGGAGAATTTTAGATTGATAAAGAAACATAAAATTTACATTTATTATAGCCATACTTTTATAGTTTGCATTCAACTATGTTGTTTACATACGTTGTTTCGTCTTTAATGATACCATCAGTTAAACCTGATGACACTCTAGCAAAGAATTTATAATATGCCTTAAACTTATTTTAATTTATAAAATGTTTCATCTATTTAAGATTATTTTTAAAGTATTTAACACAAATATATCTGGACTTAAATTTGAATAGTAAATGTTTTAAAGGTCATCTACATAAAAATAAGGTATAACTTAGATTTTGAACTATTTCTGGTCATTTTTATTATTTTTGATATAGTGCATATTAGTGATGTATCATAATATTTATTACAAATTCTTCACATTGTTCTGAATCTGAATATCTTTGCCAAAAGGAAGAGTCTCATTACCTAAATTGTTTTCAGTCTAAATATTTTTGGAAATATGTTAACTATAATATAAAATTGAAAAATGGATAGTATGAATAAAATTAGCTATTCTAATGTTTTCTTGCAGCACATTTGATTAGTAAAATGAGCATTTTAAGATAACATCCATATGTTAACAAAAGAAAGTGTATAAAAATTGCTATTTTATTTCTTGTTGGAACAATTCTGGGTTTTCATATTAAAACATAAATGAATCACTTTATTAGAAAATAATATTTGATGATGTTATGACAGTTTCTTATCCTCCTTAATTAGCAGTAGTGCTATAATTGAGTGAGATATTTCCATAGAGATCACTACAAAATTTGCATAAGCTTATAAAACAGAGAACACTGAGCAAATGTACATTTCTGAGAGCTATTTATATATTCAGAAAAAATTTCTCAAGTCTCAAATAATGTTAGGGTTGAGAAAAAAAATTATTTAATTAAATACCAAAATACCCATCTAGTTTTTTCTTTTAATTTTCTGCATCAACCTGAGAACTATAAATAATTGAATGTGCTCTAAAGCCATACTTGATCTCATTTTATATTGGGGACAAGTAGTAATCACCAGTAGGCAGACAATATTTATAGAGTTTGGCCAACTTGAAGTATTAAGGTAATTTATTATTAATTATCCTTAAGTCCAATAATTTTGTTTCCTAGAAGGTTTCAAATCAAGTTTAAATGCAATTGAAATTAACTTACTAGAGTTGTGACAGTTGTATTTTATATGCGCATACACAAGCACACACACACACACACCCAATGCATGTGGACAGATACTACATGTGATAGATTTGATATTTCTTAATTCTGCTTGCTAAGTAATTACTTCTAATAGTTAATTTATGTTAACTATTCTAATACTGATTTGTAATAGTTCTAATTTATGTTCCATTTTTTAAATATCTGAACTATATTAGATAAGCAGATTGTTGACATATCTTTCTGAGTGGTACTCTCCCCTCAGGGTCAGCCTTCTCCAATATATTTTTCTATTATACGTTAGATAACAAAGATTTTTCTTCTTAGGTATTTTTGCAATCTAATATATTTTTCCCAGTGGTGTAGAGTCAACCTCACTCATGCAGGTGGCTGTTTAGAATGCACCTTATCCTTCCAGACACTAGTATCTTCAAACACTGTCTCTACTTTCTGGAATTTACTTTAAGTTTTATCTTCATGATGAATTTTTACATTTTCTCTTTATTTAGCTTCCCCATTGCCTAAATCCTTAAGTTTTTCCTCTGTTTCATCATCCCCATTTCAACATTAAGTTTTTTTTTTTTAATTGTGCTTCCTTTAGAACATCAGCTTCACTTGAGAACTTTCTAGAAATGAGTATATTGTCTGTGGAGCATTGTTTTTCCCCTTCCCTTCTCTCTCCACCTCCCCAAATTCTTCCTCCTCCTCCCCCAACCTGTAAAGTTGGTTTTCAACATAGTGTCTTGTATAACTCATTGTTACATTGGGTCAAGCTGTATCCTTGTTTCAGCATTTTGTTTTTTCCCTTCCCTTCCCCAAATTAGAAAACTGTATATACAAGATGCAAGGCACTGACATCAAATACAGTGAAAACAGGGGTTATACCGTGGGGCAAGAACATACAAAAGAAACAAAAAAATCACACAGTACATTATAAATACGTTAAAAAACGATAGCAAGAAAGAAAAAAAAAACACTTGTGTCCTTATCTCAGGGTTCATTTCACTTAGCATCATCTTATCTGGTCATATGTAAATAGCTTTTGACCTTTTCTGTTTGTCCTAGACATATACTAGTTATTGCAAATAAGGGAAACCATGGGACCTATGTTTCTTTGAGCCTGCTATTCACTTAATATAATTTTTTCCAAGTCTTTCTACTTCCTTACAAATGAGAATAAGTTCTGGTTTCTTCCCAGACCTACTGAATGTGTTAGTATCCTAGGGGAAAGGGACAGTAATATGTCTTTTAAAAAATAAATAAAGACCTCAAGTGCTTTCGATCTTAAAAGTTACTGCTCTTTTGGCAACTTATCTGCTTTGGCAACCTAATAAATGTGTTGTTGTTTTTATAAGAATAATGTTTCATAAAATGTTAATTCCTATTTGTAATACTATAAATGTCAGAAAGTATACTCTGTGGCACTTCTCATAAAAGCTGTCTATTCTGTAAATATTCAATGAATAGGTGAACACCAAATAATGCACTACCTGATACTGGCTTAGGTTTTTCTGATAATTGCACATATTTCTCTAGGTATGCATTGCTTAATATCTTTATACCTTGGAAGTAACCAAAAATCATTTGAAGTTATTCTTTCAACCAGCTCATGATTAAGAATAAACCAGTTCCCAGTTAAACATTATTTAATATTATTACAACTTGTACTTTCTTTTCAAAAATATGACAGCTAATGAAATCATTTAGTAATAAACCAAATGCATTTTATTAAAGTAAAGCTTCAACAAATAAAATTAAGATGTCCATCCCTATTCACCAACCTTACATGTGATCAGAAAAATGAAGAAGAATTAAGAGAATGACAATTCTTCTTCTAAGTCATAAAAGCAAGAATAGCCCTGCTCCACTGGGCAGCCTTATTACATGCCAATGAACTCCAGATCTTCCATTGCCAGTACTCTTGAGTTGCTTCCACTTTTTTCACATCCCTTCCTTGCTGAGTTACAGATCCTTACAAACTGAAAGCAAAACTGTCTTCCAAAACGTATTTAAAGCTGGATGTTGGTGGCTCACATCTTTAACCCTAGCAACTCAACGTCTGAGGATCATGGTTAGAAGCCAACCCAGGCGTATAAATCCAAGAAACTTTTATCTCTAATTAACCAACCAAAGCCAGAATTGAAGGTGAGGTATGTGGCTCAAGTGCTAGAGTGCTAGCCTTGATCAAAAATTATAAAAAAAAAAAAAAAAAAAGCCAACCAGGAATACAAGGCCCTGAGTTAACTCCCCAGTACTTTCTCTCTCCCTCCCTTTCCCCTTCCCCCCTCTCTCTGTCTCTCTGTCTCTCTCTCTCTCACACACACACACATACTACACACACACACACACACACACACACACACACACACACACACACACACACATATATACATAAAAGTATGGTAGGTTTATCAAAAGTTGTCAGGTCAGGTTATTGTGTAAATTTCAACAATATTGCCTTTATAATTTGCTATGCTTTGATTGCTGGAATTAAGGTTCAGCATCATGTTTTGCTATAAAATCAGGTACACTGTAGATGGTTAAAAAGTAAGTTGATTTCTGTCTTGCAGTAGGTTCATTTATTTATACTGACCATGATATATTGCTATAAATTGAACTCTCTCTCTTTCTCTCTCTCTCTCTCTCATTGCTCCATTTTCAGCTCCCACTTTGCCTGACTATGAAGGAGTCGATGCTTCTCTCAATGAAACTGCCACCACAATCACTGTGCTGTTGCGACCAGCCCAAGCCAAAGGTGCACCAATCAGGTAAGAGTCAATAGTCCCCAAAAAGCAGCTAGTGAGAGAAACATTTCTCCTAGTTGCTTAGCCACAAATAATTAATGTCAGAGGTTTTATTTTTGTTTTTATTTTCTTCTGGTTTTGCTTATTCACTTTTCATTTGGATGAAGCCTGTAAATAGACCTATAGTTGAGAGCAAAATTCTAAGGGGATTTTTTGAGATATTCATGAACTGAACCATTCACTTCTGAGCTATTTGATTGAAGAGCTTTGCTCTTTTTTCCTTTAGTCTCATTTCATTTTGCTTCCACTGTTGGTGTCTGAGGTATAAAAGCTCTGAAGATATTTTTCAGAAATAGGATGAGGAAATGACTCTTGTTCACTGCGGTAAATCAGTTATGAATAATTTCATGAGTGATTGAAAAATAGGAAGCTTTGAGGAAATATAAGCAGAATAGTGAAAATGAATGAAAACTATATGACCTTTTAGTTCCTACATTGTTCTTTATCAGAAACCCTGTAGTAAATATTAAAGTTTAATTTGCTGTTTCCATTACCTTTCCAGTGTGAAATTTATCATCTTACAAAATTGATAGATTATTTCATCTTTCAAAATTATGAGTCACATCCTCTTTAGGGAATTAGTCACACTATTCCAAGCATTGTAATTTTTATACAATTCTAATTAGATGGTTGTGTATAACAGGTGGAAATGTCCATTTGAAGCTAGTAGATTAATGGGAATTTTTCTATTCACTTTCTAAGAAGGATATCAAGACACAGAAATTATATATGTGATAGATAAAATATATATGAGACCATACATCATAAAGCAAATTCTCACTTTCTATCTGGCTAAGAGTCAGTGGAACACCACACTCCCAGAGAGATGCCTAAGTGTACTTATAATATAAACACTTCTGAAATACTGACTGCTTGAAAATTCAAAGCAAGTATATAGTGCTTTTCATGAATCAGTGATCTCTGAGTATGTCTGATTGCTGATCCAGAGGAGAAAGGGAAAATGGTGCACTCAACATCTTTTTCTACCGACAAGTAATCAGGGGTCATTCACAAGTTCCTACCTGTGATAAAAATTACTTTGTAGGTGTGCAGTTCTATTGCCATTTAAATGAGCTATGTGCTACTTGCATTTATCTTAGATATACGAGTAAATTTAGTTTTACTTTATGCAAACATGGATCATCACCAGTCATCAGCAGCAACATTATTAATTATTATTATTATTCCACTGGGCTTTACAATGTAATTAGTATTAATTCTCTTCACTTGATCATTTTTCCACACAAAATTTGAGTGAACATGTATTAGGTGTCTTGAATTATGCTGGGCATTGTAAACCAAAGCTAAAATGACCACAACAAAACACAAGGTCTCGGCCTAGGTTTGTCATAGACTATTGGACATTCTTACCATTTTATAAATCCTTTCATCACTGATGATGTTCAGGAACTTAGTATACATTCTACAGTACGTTTTTTTAACTGAGTGATTTATTCTTGACATGAAAGTCAACAAAGTGAACTAAGTCATATAGTTTCTATAGTACATTTTCAATTCAAAGTCTTCTTTTTATTTTGTTTTTATATATCTCTTAATATTTGATTATTGAAGATTCATATAGCGTGAACTCTATTAATGTGAAAAGTGAATTTTTGATGATCATATAACCCTCTTCTCCATCACATAAACACAGTTTTTATTTTTGTTTAGGAAGGTTTTTCATTGTATATAGATTAGAACCCATTGACTGAGAATTCCAAATAATAATATGTAGGAGAATAGTACTCATTGAAAATAACCTTAAATCTTAGAACACTACAAGAAACAATTTAATAATATTATAAAGAAATAGCCATTTTAAGGGAATATTACTATTAAGGGAAACTTACATTGATTTCTAGCTCATATTCTGATCTCACCCATTATTACTATAGTTTGTGAAGACTTGCTCAGACCAATAGCAGGTGGAGCCAGTGGATGGAGCCTCTTGATCTAGTCAGGGCATTGGGTCTCAAATGCTTTTAGAGTTCTCTGTTCAAGTAGCTGTGTCCACACTCCTGCCTTCCATTTCGCCACCAGTAACTGGAGCCATATTTAGGGCTTTATCTGGTCCAGTGCTCTAGTTCGAGCTACTGTCTCCATCCCCATGGCACTGATTATATCATCTAACTTTGTGTACCTTTAGGTGCACATCACTTCCTGTAGCTGTACTTGAAACTATTTGAATTTCTGCTTTATGTCTTTTGTTATATGTCAGCCTATAAAAATCTATTTTTGCTAGTGCTTAATGCAACTGCACACACTCTGTGGTCTCCCAAAAAAAGGCAGAACAATTTTACTGCAAGTTAAACCTCCTAAGAGCAACCGATAATTATCTTGTTTGCTGATTTCAGCCTGAAATAGGGGGTCTATCTTTCCCTACTTCCTAACATTCCTACCTTCTGTTAGATGGCAGTTTACCAAACTTTTTTTCCTAGCTCCAGTAGAAATGTGTATCTTTTTTCCCCCTGATATCCCTAGTGGCAAACAAACCCCAATTCCAATATCTTCTTTTGTAGCAATTGGAAAACAATGTTGTATAGAGCTTGTACATTTAATTTAGGTTAGTTTTACTAAAAAAAAAAAACAACTGAAATTACTGACGGTTTCCTCCAAGTTAGTAAATTCAGCAGCATTCTAAATATGCCAAGAGTTAAGTTGGATTCATATGCCCATAAACGAGAGTGGTAGGCTCATACATATAATGATAATAACACATAATATTACAATGATCTATTTGATAATTACACAGTATAAGTTCAATGACAGCAGATAGAGCACATATTCTGTCTGCAGGGTTTTGCTAAAAAGAACAATAGGCTTCCAAATGACTGCAAAGCAAATGTTTCATATGTGACATAGCACAGCACATTTGAAGAGTTCAGACCGGACAGTAGCTGAGGAGGGACTAGTGCATGAGGCTGTGTCATGTCAGCCTAAAAACTGAAGTTGGCCACAAGACTACAAGCTGCAATTACCCTGAGCAAGTTTACATTTTAGAAGGACCACCAAAAGAGGCATAGAGAATGGTCTGAGGTTAATGCCAACTGAAGTCTGAAATGGTCCCTGTGAGATGCACTAACGGGCCACATTAAGACGGTAGCAATGAAAACACAGACACAGCTGTGCTCTTACACAAAGTCTGAGGATGTATGAAGCTTCCACAGCTTTATAGATGTATAAAGCTGAGAGGGAAGGGAATGCAGTTGCATCTGTAGCTGAGAAAAAACGTTCCAGGTCTTGTTTCAAAAGTTATTAAGTAATGTTTTCAGTGTTTGTATCCTAAATCAAAACTGTCCACTTTCTCTAGGAATTTTCGTTATTTCATATATTTTGTTTGCCTTACCAATATTTTTCAGCAGATTTTTTCTAAGCTCACAGTGGGTACAATGAAAACACCCATTGTAAATGATACTGGAGTTGGCATCACGTACCGCTCAGGCCTTGCTGCCTTCCCATCACGAGTGCCCCTGGTGCTAATGTGCAATATGTGTGGCGTTGTTTTGACAAGCGTGGTCTTCAAGAAAGTTCGGTTCTTCTTTTAGAGTCATTCCAAAGATGGGATGCTACTGACTTAACTAGAACTTTGACTCTCTTTTCTGCCTTTTTTCTTTGAAATCTGTCCTCACACCTGTCATCACTTGACAATCATTTCTATGACTCAAAATAAATGTAATCTGCATTTAAAATCAATTTCATAGAATAATTTACCTCACTCTTTTTTTGAAATAGTGAAATACTATTAAAACACATACTTGTTCCTCCATGATGAGGTTTTCTTTATTTAAGACAACCTAAATGAATGTGTATTTTATTTCAGAATTTTCAAATGTATGTTCAATTGTGTGTGTGTGTGTGTGTGTGTGTGTGTGTGTGTGTGTGTGTGTGTGTGTGTGTATAAGCGTGTGTGTACACTGGTCTTGGGGTTTGATCTCAAGGGCTGGAAAATATCCCTGAGCTTTTTTGCTCTACCTCTTCAGCCACACCTCCACTTCCAGCTTTATGATAATTAGAGGTAAGAGTCTCCTGCCTGGGTGAGCCCTGAACCTCAATCCCCAAAAATGCAGCATCCTGAGTAGCTAGTATTATAGATGTGAGCCACCAGTTCTCAGCTTCTACTTAATTTAATTAGATAAAATGATGCCTATTCCAGAATCAGAATTATTGTTTTAATCTGACTTTCATGTTTTCTTGCTTGCTCGCTTACTTGCTTTCTCTTTCCTTTTCTTTTTCTCTTTCTCTCTTTATCATCTTGCCCTTCCTTCCTTTCATCCTTCCTTCCTTCCTTCCTTCCTTCCTTTCTTCCTTCCTTCCATTCTTCCTTTTGTATTTCCTTCCTTCTATACTTCCTTTCAATTTCTTTTTTCTTAAAATTTTAATTATCTTTAAGTAGTTATACTAAATTTATTTCCACATTTCAGTTTGTGAGTTCGGTGAATCTTTATCAAGTGTCATCCCTTTCATCTTTTCCCTTCATCCCCAGCCCACTCATCCCCTTGATTTGTCTGGTTCCATTTTTCACACATGTACATCTAATTTTGCATTTATACATCATTTATATGTGAGTCTCCCAACCTAAGCTTCACATGTAGCTTGGGATGACAGGGGTATAACACTGTGCCCACCTATGTGTACAGAAGGGGTTTTCCTCAACTATTCTCCTGGCCTGACCTTAAACTGCTATCCCTCCATTTTCAGCCTCCCTCTTATCTAAGATTACTCATCTCCTTTTGAGATATTATGCTTTTATATATTTATGTCTTTCTGCTAGAATGTAAGCTGCATGAAAGCAGAGGCTTTCAATACTGTTTTTGTTATTTCAGTCTAAACATTGAAAACATTTTATGACCTATAACAACTATTTAATAAATATTTCGTGACTAAGATAAGCATTGTGTTTAGCGAGTTCCTAATGTACTAAAGAAAAGATAGTTGAAGAAATACTTATGACAGCATAATAGCAG